AGTTGAGCACTGGTTCACTGAGCACTCACTCTCTGCAACATTACCTTGAGTGAGAGTTGAGCACTGGTTCACTTGAGCACTCGCTCTCTGCAACATTACCTTGAGTGAGAGTTGAGCACTGGTTCACTGAGCACTCACTCTCCGCAACATTACCTTGAGTGAGAGTTGAGCACTGGTTCACTTGAGCACTCGCTCTCTGCAACATTACCTTGAGTGAGAGTTGAGCACTGGTTCACTGAGCACTCACCCTCTGCAACATTACCTTGAGTGAGAGTTGAGCACTGGTTCACTTGAGCACTCACACTCTGCAACAGATCTGCCAACACTGTTTTGATATCTGCAACGACATAAAAGAGAAAAGAAAATCGTAAGTATAATTTTGCAAATGTATTTACGAAATAAAAAAAAATACATTAACACACTAAACTTAAGATTATCTTCCACTATATTAAAGATAAATGTTAAAAAAACAGCGTTTACGCTCTAGGCTGCCGGATGACATCCAGCATCACCCGGATGGAGGTAGGATGCTACCCTGGAATGACGGTCAGCACGTTGCATGGGACTACACTTGTGAGTCTTCACTGACTAACACCTTCTTACGATACTCTGTAGCTGAAGTGGGCGGTGCTGCCAGTTTCAGTGAGAGCCCAAGTTGACTTTGTACCATCTTGTAACTTAGTCCTAGTAGGAGCATTTGTACCTCAGATCATGGTACAAGTGTGCATGTAAGTGTCCAAACTCATCACGGAAACCATGGACCCCAGAGCGAACTGCTTCCTTTTACAACGACTCAGAACTGCGATCCAGAGAGGAAATGCCTGCAGCATTCTGCACTCACGACCCACCTCAAGGTACAAGGATGACTTGCTTCATTTAAAGTTTTATTTCTTACTATGTTTGATGTTCTGATTCCAAATACATTGATTGTTTTAAAATGTATCTATTATATGAGTAAATAAAAAAATCTTATATAGGGGATTTTGGTAAAAGAAAATGCTTAAACAACTCCGAAAATAAACTTCCAGATTTCTTCCCTGAAGTTTATTCTCTTCTCTGAGGCTGTGGGTCCCCAGCCAGTACCATAGGTGTTTGCTCTTTATAGACAAGGACTCGAACCGTGGTTCTGGCATATAGCAGGCCCGATACTATACCACTGAGCCACAAAACTTAAAATAGAAAGATATTATCAACAACACCTGTGTAGCAGCACCATCTGTCACACTGCTGTACCAGCAGCACCATCTGTCACACTGCTGTACCAGCAGTACCATCTGTCACACTGCTGTACCAGCAGCACCATCTGTCACACTGCTGTACCAGCAGTACCATCTGTCACACTGCTGTACCAGCAGCACCATCTGTCACACTGCTGTACCAGCAGCACCATCTGTCACACTGCTGTACCAGCAGCACCATCTGTCACACTGCTGTACCAGCAGCACCATCTGTCACACTGCTGTACCAGCAGCACCATCTGTCACACTGCTGTACCAGCAGCACCATCTGTCACACTGCTGTACCAGCAGCACCATCTGTCACACTGCTGTACCAGCAGCACCATCTGTCACACTGCTGTACCAGCAGCACCATCTGTCACACTGCTGTACCAGCAGCACCATCTGTCACACTGCTGTACCAGCAGCACCATCTGTCACACTGCTGTACCAGCAGCACCATCTGTCACACTGCTGTACCAGCAGTACCATCTGTCACACTGCTGTACCAGCAGCACCATCTGTCACACTGCTGTACCAGCAGCACCATCTGTCACACTGCTGTACCAGCAGTACCATCTGTCACACTGCTGTACCAGCAGCACCATCTGTCACACTGCTGTACCAGCAGCACCATCTGTCACACTGCTGTACCAGCAGCACCCAAAAACCATCTGTCACACTGCTGTACCAGCAGCACCATCTGTCACACTGCTGTACCAGCAGCACACATCTGTCACACTGCTGTACCAGCAGCACCATCTGTCACACTGCTGTACCAGCAGCACCATCTGTCACACTGCTGTACCAGCAGTACCATCTGTCACACTGCTGTACCAGCAGCACCATCTGTCACACTGCTGTACCAGCAGTACCATCTGTCACACTGCTGTACCAGCAGCACCATCTGTCACACTGCTGTACCAGCAGTACCATCTGTCACACTGCTGTACCAGCAGCACCATCTGTCACACTGCTGTACCAGCAGTACCATCTGTCACACTGCTGTACCAGCAGTACCATCTGTCACACTGCTGTACCAGCAGCACCATCTGTCACACTGCTGTACCAGCAGTACCATCTGTCACACTGCTGTACCAGCAGCACCATCTGTCACACTGCTGTACCAGCAGTACCATCTGTCACACTGCTGTACCAGCAGCACCATCTGTCACACTGCTGTACCAGCAGTACCATCTGTCACACTGCTGTACCAGCAGCACCATCTGTCACACTGCTGTACCAGCAGTACCATCTGTCACACTGCTGTACCAGCAGCACCATCTGTCACACTGCTGTACCAGCAGTACCATCTGTCACACTGCTGTACCAGCAGCACCATCTGTCACACTGCTGTACCAGCAGTACCATCTGTCACACTGCTGTACCAGCAGCACCATCTGTCACACTGCTGTACCAGCAGTACCATCTGTCACACTGCTGTACCAGCAGCACCATCTGTCACACTGCTGTACCAGCAGTACCATCTGTCACACTGCTGTACCAGCAGCACCATCTGTCACACTGCTGTACCAGCAGTACCATCTGTCACACTGCTGTACCAGCAGCACCATCTGTCACACTGCTGTACCAGCAGTACCATCTGTCACACTGCTGTACCAGCAGCACCATCTGTCACACTGCTGTACCAGCAGTACCATCTGTCACACTGCTGTACCAGCAGCACCATCTGTCACACTGCTGTACCAGCAGTACCATCTGTCACACTGCTGTACCAGCAGCACCATCTGTCACACTGCTGTACCAGCAGTACCATCTGTCACACTGCTGTACCAGCAGTACCATCTGTCACACTGCTGTACCAGCTGTATCATCTGTCACACTGCTGTACCAGCAGTACCATCTGTCACACTGCTGTACCAGCAGCACCATCTGTCACACTGCTGTACCAGCAGTACCATCTGTCACACTGCTGTACCAGCAGCACCATCTGTCACACTGCTGTACCAGCAGTACCATCTGTCACACTGCTGTACCAACAGCACCATCTGTCACACTGCTGTACCAGCAGCACCATCTGTCACACTGCTGTACCAGCAGTACCATCTGTCACACTGCTGTACCACAGCACCATCTGTCACACTGCTGTACCAGCAGCACCATCTGTCACACTGCTGTACCAGCAGTACCATCTGTCACACTGCTGTACCAGCAGTACCATCTGTCACACTGCTGTACCAGCAGCACCATCTGTCACACATGCTGTACCAGCAGTATCATCTGTCACACTGCTGTACCAGCAGCACCATCTGTCACACTGCTGTACCAGCAGTACCATCTGTCACACTGCTGTACCAGCAGTACCATCTGTCACACTGCTGTACCAGCAGCACCATCTGTCACACTGCTGTACCAGCAGTACCATCTGTCACACTGCTGTACCAGCAGTACCATCTGTCACACTGCTGTACCAGCTGTATCATCTGTCACACTGCTGTACCAGCAGTACCATCTGTCACACTGCTGTACCAGCAGCACCATCTGTCACACTGCTGTACCAGCAGTACCATCTGTCACACTGCTGTACCAGCAGCACCATCTGTCACACTGCTGTACCAGCAGTACCATCTGTCACACTGCTGTACCAGCAGTACCATCTGTCACACTGCTGTACCAGCAGTATCATCTGTCACACTGCTGTACCAGCAGCACCATCTGTCACACTGCTGTACCAGCAGTACCATCTGTCACACTGCTGTACCAGCAGTATCATCTGTCACACTGCTGTACCAGCAGCACCATCTGTCACACTGCTGTACCAGCAGTACCATCTGTCACACTGCTGTACCAGCAGTATCATCTGTCACACTGCTGTACCAGCAGTACCATCTGTCACACTGCTGTACCAGCAGCACCATCTGTCACACTGCTGTACCAGCAGCACCATCTGTCACACTGCTGTACCAGCAGTATCATCTGTCACACTGCTGTACCAGCAGTACCATCTGTCACACTGCTGTACCAGCAGCACCATCTGTCACACTGCTGTACCAGCAGTATCATCTGTCACACTGCTGTACCAGCAGTACCATCTGTCACACTGCTGTACCAGCAGCACCATCTGTCACACTGCTGTACCAGCAGTACCATCTGTCCACACTGCTGTACCAGCAGTACCATCTGTCACACTGCTGTACCAGCAGTATCATCTGTCACACTGCTGTACCAGCAGCACCATCTGTCACACTGCTGTACCAGCAGCACCATCTGTCACACTGCTGTACCAGCAGTATCATCTGTCACACTGCTGTACCAGCAGTACCTTCTTCACACTGTTGTACCAGCAGTACCATGTCATACTACTGTACCAGCAGCACCATCTGTCACACTGCTGTACCAACAGTACCATCTGTCACACTGCTGTACCAGCAGTACCATCTTCACACTGTTGTACCAGCAGTACCATGTCATACTACTGTACCAACAGCACCATCTGTCACACTGCTGTACCAACAGTACCATTTGTCGCTCTGCTGTACCAGCAGCACCATCTGTCACACTACTGTACCAGAAGCACCATCTGCCACACTACTGTACCAGCAGCACCATCTGTCACACTACAGCAGTACCAACTGTCACGCCCCAGCAACTGTCATGGTATGTCTCTTCTCATAAACCTCTAAGTCATGTAGTCTATAAACTAAAGATGAGCATTAAAGAACGACTGTCAGTGAACAACAACAACAACAACAACAACAACAACAACAACAACAACAACAACAACAACAATAATAATAATAATAATAATAATAATAATAATAATAATAATAATAATAATAATAATAATAATAATAATATTAGCTGTATGAGTGTTGCAATTTGTTCTTACGCTCCTGTTGCCTTTATCTTACTGTCTCACTTATTTTGCATTAAAGATCCTTTTTCTTAATCTACAAACTTTGAATTACCTTCACTGAAAGCTGTATAGCCTTTGTGGTTTAGCGCTTCTTTTTGATTATAATAATAATAACTTCTGAAAAAAAAAATCCCGAGATTACTGTACGATCTGTTGCTGACAGACGTGTGACTTCAAATTATCCGACTTATTTAATCCTAACTTATTAATTCAGTTTAAGATTATTTATTTAACGTGACGCCTAGCTCGGTTGGTAGGGCACACAACTCACACACTGCGGTCCGTGGTTCGATCGCAGGTACGGGTTAAAACATTAGGACGTGTTTCCTGAAGACATCTGCTGTCCCCATTCACCTAGCAATAAGTAGGTACCTGGGTATTAGTCACCGTACACCTGCTGTCCCTGTTCACCTAGCAGCAAGTAGGTACCTAGGTGTTAGGCTACCGGTGTGGGTGGCATCCTGGGGGACAAGATGACCCTAAGTTACGGGAAATGCTCTGATTAACAAGGCGCTTTCTATATAGTAAGTCCTTGATGTCAGCTGTGGTCTGTATAAGTTGTGTCACGTACTTGTAGAAATAAAGATTATTATTATTATTATTATTATTATATTATTATTATTATTATTATTATTATTATTATTATTATTATTATTATAATTATTATTATTATTATTTTTATTATTAATTGCGCAGTTATTTGAATTATGGTAATGTTTTGCAGAGTTTACAAAGGAACATTCCGCCTACGTCTTAGTGCCAGGCTGTAGCGATGCCTGGCTCTCGCGGTGCTATGGACAGTTGTGAAGTGCCTTCGTGTGCACACACTTTCTGCCGTGATGCTCAGAGTGCCATATGCAAATACGGTCCTTGTAGACAGTGGCAGTGTTGTCACAGCACGTGTGTGGATCATCCATTACTGAGCATTAGCAGTAGGCTGGAGGTAATTTAAATCTTGTAGGCCTGGGATATATATAATATTCGAGCGTTGGATAACTAAAATACAATTAACACTTGTCAGTGCTTATGGAGACAGAAACACAGAGGATTAACTGGTTTGTATATTTCGATCTCCTTCTGGGGTCCTCTTCAGCAGATATACAAATGAGAACAAGAATATATAGGGAATGATGCATCCTTCCCTACATATTCTCGTTCTCATTTCACTAATGTATCTACTGAAGAGGACCCCAGAAGCGGATCGAAGTATACAGACCAGTTAATCATCTGTGTTTGTCTCCACTTGGGTTATTACTGAGCACTGGTGAGTGTTATAGGTCAAAATTAACAAAAATCTATTACAAGGACGTATCAGTAGTGTGTCTGCTGGACTCTCACACTATGTAACTACTAGCTGCCCCGAGAGCAGGCAGTGCATACCCAGCCACGACACTGCGTATGTCATATCCAGTGGTGAAAATATGTCATACCTGGTTGTATAATTATTTAAGTCAAACATACATAACACATAATATAAAATACCTATTAATATTTAAGGCTGAATATGAACCTCGTACTTAGCAGTGAATGTCGTGCCCAGCGATGAAACTCTGCATGTTATACACAAGCAGTGAAATTGATCATGTCAGAGCCAGTAGTGAAACTATGTACGTCGTACTCAGCAGTGAAACTGTGCATGTATTTTACAGCATTGAAACAGTGTATGTCATACACGAACAGTGAAGCGGTATATGTCATACACGAGCAGTGAAGCGGTATATGTCATACACGAGCAGTGAAGCGGTATATGTCATACACGAGCAGTGAAGCGGTATATGTCATACACGAGCAGTGAAGCGGTATATGTCATACACGAGAAGTTAAGCAGTATATGTCATACACGAGCAGTGAAGCGGTATATGTCATACACGAGCAGTGAAGCGGTATATGTCATACACGAGAAGTTAAGTGGTGTATGTCATACACGAACAGTGAAGCGGTGTATGTCATACACGAGAAGTTAAGTGGTATATGTCATACACGAACAGTGAAGCGGTGTACGTCATACACGAGCAGTAAAGCGGTATATGTCATACACGAGAAGTTAAGCGGTATATGTCATACACGAGAAGTTAAGCGGTGTATGTCATACACGAGAAGTTAAGCGGTATATGTCATACACGAACAGTGAAGCGGTGTATGTCATACACGAACAGTGAAGCGGTGTATGTCATACACGAAAGTTAAGCGGTATATGTCATACACGAGAAGTTAAGCGGTTATGTCATAACACGAACAGTTGAAGCGGTATATGTCATACACGAACAGTGAAGCGGTGTATGTCATACACGAACAGTGAAGCGGTGTATGTCATACACGAACAGTGAAGCGGTGTATGTCATACACGAACAGTGAAGCGGTGTATGTCATACACGAACAGTGAAGCGGTATATGTCATACACGAGAAGTTAAGCGGTATATGTCATACACGAACAGTGAAGCGGTATATGTCATACACGAACAGTGAAGCGGTGTATGTCATACACGAACAGTGAAGCGGTGTATGTCATACACGAACAGTGAAGCGTGTATGTCATACACGAAAGTTGAAGCGGTGTATGTCATACACGAACAGTGAAGCGGTATATGTCATACACGAACAGTGAAGCGGTGTATGTCATACACGAACAGTGAAGCGGTGTATGTCATACACGAACAGTGAAGCGGTGTATGTCATACACGAACAGTGAAGCGGTATATGTCATACACGAGAAGTTAAGCGGTATATGTCATACACGAACAGTGAAGCGGTGTATGTCATACACGAACAGTGAAGCGGTGTATGTCATACACGAGAAGTTAAGCGGTATATGTCATACACGAACAGTGAAGCGTGTAACGTCAATACACGAGAGTAAAGCGGTATATGTCATACACGAGACAGTAAGCGTGTATGTCATACACGAGAAGTTAAGCGGTGTATGTCATACACGAGAAGTTAAGCGTATATGTCAATACACGAACAGTGAAGCGGTGTAGTCATACACGAACAGTGAAGCGGTTATGTCATACACGAAAGTGAAGCGGTGTATGTCATACACGAACAGTGAAGCGGTGTATGTCATACACGAACAGTGAAGCGGTGTATGTCATACACGAACAGTGAAGCGGTGTATGTCATACACGAACAGTGAAGCGGTATATGTCATACACGAGAAGTTAAGCGGTATATGTCATACACGAACAGTGAAGCGGTGTATGTCATACACGAACAGTGAAGCGGTGTATGTCATACACGAGAAGTAAGCGGTTATGTCATACACGAACAGTGAAGCGGTTATGTCATACACGAACAGTTTAAGCGGTTATGTCATACACGAACAGTGAAGCGGTGTATGTCATACACGAACAGTGAAGCGGTGTATGTCATACACGAACAGTGAAGCGGTGTATGTCATACACGAACAGTGAGCGGTATATGTCAAACACGAAAGTTAAGCGGTTATGTCATACACGAACAGTGAAGCGGTGTATGTCATACACGAACAGTGAAGCGGTGTATGTCATACACAGAAAGTGAAGCGGTATATGTCATACACGAACAGTGAAGCGGTGTATGTCATACACGAACAGTGAAGCGGTATATGTCATACACGAACAGTGAAGCGGTGTATGTCATACACGAACAGTGAAGCGGTGTATGTCATACACGAACAGTGAAGCGGTGTATGTCATACACGAACAGTGAAGCGGTGTATGTCATACACGAACAGTGAAGCGGTGTATGTCATACACGAACAGTGAAGCGGTGTATGTCATACACGAACAGTGAAGCGGTGTATGTCATACACGAACAGTGAAGCGGTGTATGTCATACACGAACAGTGAAGCGGTGTATGTCATACACGAACAGTGAAGCGGTGTATGTCATACACGAACAGTGAAGCGGTGTATGTCATACACGAGCAGTGAAGCGGTGTATGTCATACACGAACAGTGAAGCGGTGTATGTCATACACGAACAGTGAAGCGGTGTATGTCATACACGAGCAGTGAAGCGGTATATGTCATACACGAACAGTGAAGCGGTGTATGTCATACACGAACAGTGAAGCGGTGTATGTCATACACGAGCAGTGAAGCGGTGTATGTCATACACGAACAGTGAAGCGGTGTATGTCATACACGAACAGTGAAGCGGTGTATGTCATACACGAGCAGTGAAGCGGTATATGTCATACACGAACAGTGAAGCGGTGTATGTCATGCACGAACAGTGAAGCGGTGTATGTCATACACGAACAGTGAAGCGGTATATGTCATACACGAGAAGTTAAGTGGTGTATGTCATACACGAACAGTGAAGCGGTGTATGTCATACACGAGCAGTAACAGTGACACAATAAGTGCTTAAACAGTGTTATTACTAACGCTGCAAATATTTTTCCTCTTTTGGGATAATAATAATAATAATAATAATAATAATAATAATAATAATAATAATAATAATAATAATAATAATAATAATAATAATAATAATAATAATAATAATAAGTATAATTAGTATTAATATTATCATCATCATTATCATCATAACAGATGAGCGCTAAACCAGCAAAAGTAATAAGGCTTGATCCTAGGAAGGGGGAGAGCTCAAGTTCCTTGGATCAAGAGCCTTTCACTTACCAAGTTGATTAACGAAGAGTGTCTGGATGAGTTCCCTTGTTATTAGCGTCCCCTGACTATCTGGGTTTTCTGTTTTGGTGATGCCTTGCGTAGATTCTGCGTTATTCTGCGTAAATTGTACATCGTGCGTGAACTGCAGGACGTGGGCATCCCGTACGTGCTGAGTATCCTGTATGTGGTGGGTATCCTGTACGTGGTGGGCATCCTGTACGTAGTGGGTGTTCTTGGGACTAGCCAGCCCCCAACACAACACTGATGCTACCAAGAGAGCTATTATCATGGTGGAGTGAGCCACTGACCATGACTGGTATCTTATATACTTCCTCGGGGCTAGGGTGGGTCAAGGAGGGCCAGGGAGGGCCTGGGAGGGCCAAGGAGGGCCTGGGAGGGGCTGGGAGGGCCAGCGAGGGCCAGGGAGGGCCAGGGAGGGCCAGGAAGAGTCAGGAAAAAGCCTGGGGAACTTTCAACACACTTCTCACCAGTAAAACACACTTGCTGTGTTATTTAAGCATCACATTAAAAAGTGTATACAACACAACGTTATCCCGGTACAGAGAGAGGATCTAAAATTTCATTAACCAACTACGAGTGAGAAGATTTGTATTTGAGGACCAGCTTAGCATGGGCCAGTAGGCCAGCTGAAATGTTCCTTATATTCTTATGGCCTTATTCCAGTGGGCCCAACCACCTTGTTATGCTATCTCCATTCTGTGCACCTCACATTTCAGAACTAAGCAAAGAAATTATCAGCCACAAGAAGTTTAAAGAGCAAAATAAATTTAATTCTCTCTCATTTCTATCAACTCTATCAGCCCGTGGCCTGGCTGGCGAAGCTCTCACTTTACACGCGGAGGGCCCGGGTGCGATTCCCGGCGGAGTGAAAACATTTCGACGCGTTTCCTTACATCTGTTGTCCTGTTCACCTAGCAGCAAATAGGTACTTGGGTGTTAGTCGCATCCTGGGGGACAAGATTCAGGACCCCAATGGAAATAAGACAGACAGTCCTCGATGACGCAATGACTTTTTTGGGGGGGTTATCCTGGGTGGCTAACTCTCCGGGGTTAAAAATCCGAACAAAATCTTATGTTATCTCTCTTAACCAACGCAGCCATAACTTGACTACAAGCAGGCACAAGGTAGAGTATCCAGGAAGCACGACATTTCCCCTTCTCTCTGCTTCCACAATGAACCCAGCAACATTCTTCTCTGAGAACGGCAAGGCATGCCTTTCCTTCTCCCATTTACAGAATGACTCAAATTCGGGAATATGCAACGAGGCTGTCAGCGCCATCTTGAAGGTTAACCATCTCTCCTGATATGAAGTTCCTGATGTTGATTCAACAACAATACTGGAAATTATTAAGCCAGACCCCTGTGGTGTACACATGCTGAGGTATCCAAGCCAATGGCCACCTCCGAAATGTTAGGTAGAAGGACACAAGTGCAACTAATGTGATATATTATTGCGGCAACGTTTCGCTCTCCAGGAGAGTGGATTGACGAAGCTCATGGAGAGTGAAATGTTGCCACGATAAAATGTTACTATAGTTGCATATATGTTTTGTTACCTTACATTATCAATAGTTTGACCATTATAACACCAACGAGATATTTATCACTGCCACCATCTCTGCCATCCTTGTCACCACCTCTGCTTCCCCTGCCACCACCTCTGCCATCCATGCCACCTCTGACTCTTCAACTACCGGACACTACACAATTTGGTATACCACCTCTTCGCCTACTGTATACATCTCAACCCTAACAACATATGACACCATCTCTGTTGCTGATTATTTATCTCCGAATATTTCCCAAGAGTTAAATGAAACCACGTCCCGGGTCTTGCCTGGAATACTCTTAGCTTCTGCACCACACTCTCTAAAAGGTCAGTGTATTCCAAGGAACTGCACACAAAACTGTGCAAAGGTACGGGAAAATTACTCTGTGAGCTTCCTTACAACTTCCCAACTTACCAAGTGCTTGCACTCTTCAAACGACACTAACGAGGGTGACGTCCCCTTCGAAGTATACAACATCTTCAAAGAAGCCTTCTAAGAAATTCAAAATGGCTCCTCAACCATGAATCCACCATAAAGATTTTTTATAACACCTCCGCTGCTGGCTGAACTCCATCACGAATTCCTGCGCCTGCTTGACACACACACACACACACACACACACACACACACACACACACACATATATAAGCACACAGGCGGGGCCAGGAGCTGAGACTCAACCTCTGAAACCACAATTAGGCAAGTACAATTAGGTGAATACACATCACCCAAATTGCATTTAAATGTGATCCACTCAAGTAACACCCAAACACAATTATGACTTCCCCCGTCAGCCTACACATGCAATCACGCACACAACCAACACCCAGACACACATCACATAATCTACACCTAGCACATACACATCGTACACCCAGCACACACAACCTACCCCCAGACACACACACAACCTACACCCAGTACACACACAACCTATACCCAGTGCACACAACCTACACCCAGTACACACAACCCACACCCAGTACACAGACAACCTACACCCAGCACACACAACCTACACCCAGAAACACAACCTACACCCAGCACACACAACCCACACCCAGTACACAGACAACCTACACCCAGCACACACAACCTACACCCAGCACACACAACCTACACCCAGTACACACTACACTCTGAATTTCTCCCTCACTCAGGGTACACAAAACACTCACTCTGAAGTGAACAATTTATCTCAGGTCCAATACAGAAGTTAAGATATTTCATGTATAACTTTCTTCTGCATATCCCTTATGGGCTATTTTCTTAGTTTAAAATGTGGCCGTCGTATAACAATATAACAAATCTTATGATCACTTGTCCTAGTCTTCCTCTTGTACGTCAAGGTATCATAGAACAAAATAACAAATGCTAAAGATCACTTTGCCTTTGTAGTCTTCCTCTCGTACGTCACAGTATTGAAAAATAGCGTCTCTTATGTTAGGGAGATAAATTTCCCACATAATGATAAAGAAGAAAGGATTGGCTATAAATCGGTTCAATTTCTTTTGCATCCTCGAAGCCTTATGACCGATTAGTGACAAATGTCGTGACAGTGTTGAGTCTCCTGTAATACAGACTCCTTATTATAGATGGAGAGGGTTAATACTGACTGTGCTATAGAATGTTTATAGACAAGATTCATGTCTGTGCCTCAGGGAAAGCCTTGGCGGATTTATGAATTTATGCAGGCGCAGCCTCTCACTCCGGTTAGTGTATGCACTCTGTATCCAAAGAAGCAGATGTCCATAGGTATGGATAAATAAGATGAATAAGACACATTTGCAACATTTGGGTATCCTTATTCTGAAATCAAGATACACAGATGTTGCACAAGTGATTCATTTATCAACTTGCCGGTTTTCTAATCCATTTATTCGCACCTGCGTATCTCATTGGCGAAACGTTTCACCTGCACAGTAAGCTTCTTCAGTCAAATACAGAATACAGTAGAATTCTGGAAGCAGAAGGACTTAAGAACATAAGAACATAAGAAAGTAGGAACACTGCAGAAGGCCTACTGGCCCATACGAGGCAGGTCCTTATCAAAACGACATCTACCTAAAGCTACTTGTTTTGATGATATCAGTCCCTCATCCTCGGTGAGAGGTAATCAGTCCCTCGAGTCTAATGCATGGGCAATCGAGGTGGTCAGTCCCTCAGCCAGGGTGGGGGACTGACCACCTCAAAGCTACATCTTCAAAGGTGATGGACTGATTACAACGTCTTTACATCTGTACTGCTTCTGCTGACTCTTCTGTACTCGACTGAAGAACCCTGCTGTGTAGGCGAAACGTATCGAAATAAATAAATAATTATGTCCTAGAATCTGTATTGATAAAGCCACTGGATGGCGAAACGTCTACAATAAAGATATACAGATGTTGCACAAGTGTCTTAACTTTCATAAAGATACCTAACTATCGCACATCTGTCTTACTTATCAATGTCACGAGTAATGATAATAGAGATAAATGGTATAAACTACCGACGCGATGGAAAAATAAACACAAATACAGTATAATGACTCACGAAATCGCAATATCACGATTCCAAACAAACCACGGAACGGGTGGGATCTGAACCCATGGCGAGTAAGTCGTAAAACTCCAGGCTAGTGAGTATGTCACTGGGCCAGCTGGACCAGAGACTTACACACTGGACTGGAGTTTAACGACTGTCTCCCCATAGGTTCAACTTTAAACCCCATCCGTTCCTTGGTTTGGCAGTATAATGCGATTCTTTATTGACTTCGATTTGTCCACACAGTGGGCTTTATCTAGTCACAAACAGATCTTGATTAAGGTCACTGTGTGGGCGAAACGTAGCCAATAAATGATCATATACTGCATTTGTGTTTATTTTTCCAGCAATAACAGTAAGAAGGTTTAAGAAGGGTACGAACATCATTGGCAAGAAGGCAGAGAGAGAGCAAGTTGACGTTAACGGAGGGAGATGAAAGCCTCCTCTTACGACTTAGTGGAAACTATGATCTGTGGGAAGCAAGAGGCTGACACGTTGAAGAAAGGAAGGTGATAAACATATGGAAGTGGGAGGGAGCTAAGACGCACGTGTAATATACGTCTTACTTCATAACTCTCTGATTTACACAAAAAATAAATAACACGTACGGACAGATGCACGAAATATTTGACAGCTTTTGTTCCAGGGTCAATCATTGGAAGTGGGAGAGAGCTAAGACACATGTGTAACGCCTGGGTATCTTCCTTGGTGGAAACGTGTCTCCAGACAGTGGTTTTATCAGTCATATCTAGAGAATCAATGATGTATAGTGTGGAAGAAGTGGAGAGGTAATTTTTGAGGTTATCAGTCCCTTAGCCTTCATAGGAGGTGATCAGTCCCTCTGCTTTTACTGTAGGTGATCAGTCCCTCAATCTTGATGGAAAGTGATCAGTCCCTCACCCATTAAAGGAGATGATCAGTGCCTCAGCCTTGATAAGATGTCTTCAGTTCCCCAGTGTCAACTAGTTGGTATTACCTACAGTTAATGTAACAGAGAGTGAGAGATGAAACAGAGCCAACACATGCTCAGTACAACAATCACAGATAACGTAGCAGGTTCTCATGACCTCTGTAAGCAATAAGAGCAGCTTCATGTTGCAAAAAAAGAAAAAGAAAATTAAAGAAACCTAAACATTTAAAAAGCTACAGAGAATAAGTTGCTGAATAAGTTGCTTACCACTTGAGTCTCTG